GGGGGTGACCCCGCTCCCCCCATACTTGATCCCACCAATCACTGTGTTATCTGAGGATAAGGCTCATGCCTTGCTATTTTTTTTTTAATTTTTTTTTGTTTTAAAGATTTATTTATTCATACAGAACTAGGGTACAGGCCAGAGATGCGGAGGGTGAGAGGATTCACCAGAGACAGAGTGGGGAGCAGAACAGGCAGACCAAGGAAGTCCACTGCTGAGGGGAGCAGCGGGCGGGTCAGGGAGGTCTGCCGCGCCGTGTGGTCACCTCCGGGGCAGGCGGGGATCGAACTCCTGCGGATAAGCTCCTTAGTGCTGTGCTTTAACCCGCTGCGCCACCAGGGAGGGCCCGCCTTCGTATTTTTAACAACCGCCCCAATTTTGCTCAGTTCTGAAGTTGAAGAAATGATGATGTTGACTTGGGATGACTTAACTAATGTGTGCGTGAGTGGGTTAGGCGAATGCATTTTCCTCCCCGATTGTTGCATCTGATTGCAAGATGATGGACTTGCCTTTTCCTAGAATCAACTTCAAATTTTCATGAAAAAGCAATTTCAACAAAGAAAGTCGTATGTTTAAAACATGATAAGGCTGCTGCTTCTTGGCAGAGACACGGGTCAGATGAATGGCAAAGTCTTGACGGATGAGGATGTGCCAGCCTCAGCGTGGAATTCTCCCTGTGCTGGGTCTGCAGAGGGAGTAACCGACTAAGATGTCATTTGCGGGGTCACACAATTGAGATCCAGTGCATCCAGCGTGGGAGCCTCGCAGTTCCCACAAATGCAGTGCTCAGATGCCGCGTGCATGTCTCCGTTTTAGGGAGTAGATTTATATCCCGAGAACAAGAAGTACTTCGGGCTGTCCGAATTCATCGAGTCCACCCTCTCGGGACACAGCCTGCCCTTGCTCAGATATGACAGTTCCTTCGAGGCCATGGTCACTGCACTGGGGAAGAGGTAAGGTCGCTCTTCCAAGTTCCGAAATGCTTTGTATTCAAGTGCAACGCATGCTTGCATGGGGGGAGGGCTCCAGGAGGGAATTCACCTCCCTCCCAGAGCAACTCCGCCCTCCATTAAAGAAACCTGGCTTATTTCTCATCCTGAATTTTGGGTCAGCGATGATCTCTGTGGTGCCGTTCCAGAGAAGTTAAGGCTGAGAATGGACATAAGTATTCTGGAATGTGGGACTGTGCTTGATGCTCAAGGGAGGTCAAGAAAGTCGGAGCAAAGACAGACACCAAAGGCTGAAAGAAAACCACAGTGACAGCTACAGTCCGCGTCAGTGTTGACGTCCTGTGTCCCTGTCGGGGCTGGCTGGCGTCACTGTCCAGCGCCCGCCTCCTCTCCGCTTCCGTTTCTGTTCTTCCCTCTGTGTACGCGGCAGGGACACGGGTCCCCCACAGTCAAGAATCCATGTACAACTGTTGACTCCCCTAAAACTTAATTGCTCGTGACCTGCCGTTCACTGGAGGCCTCGTGAGACCGTGAACCTCTGCTTCTGTTCCCAGCTGGCTTGACTGGTTGGCTCCGTCTCAGGCTGCAAACCAGCAGCGTCAGGAGGCGGTGGCCGGTCTGGTCTGGGAGCTGCCTGTGCCCAGGTGGTGGACACCGTGGGTCCCGGCTTTTGGAAAAGCCCTCCGTCCTCTGGGAGCGCTCTGGGCCACGGTGGTCTCTGTCCTGGCAGTTCCCGGCGGGGCGGGCCACGGTGGTCTGTCTGTCTGTCTTGCAGGTTCCCCCGCCTGCACAGCGCGGTGATCAGGACCTTTGTCCTTGTGCAGCACTATGCGGCCGCCATGATGGCCGTGAGTGGCCTGTCGCAGATGAAGAACTACACGTCGGTGGAGACGCTGGAGATCACCCAGAACCTCATCAACTCCCCGAAGCAGTGTCCCTGTGGCCACGGGCTCATGGTCCTGCTGCGGGTGCCCTGCCCGCCCCTGGCGGCCGTGGCCTACGAGCGGCTGGCCCACGTGCGGGCGCGGCTGGCCCTGGAGGAGCACTTTGACATCATCCTGGGCAACCCCAGCTCGGGCATCACCGTGGGGAAGCACTTTGTGAAGCAGCTCAAGGTGGGGGCAGTCGGGGCCAGGGGGACGGGTACCTGGGGAGGGCGGGTGTGGCGTCCAGGAGCCAGACCGGCTGCATATTCCCTGACCTTGCCGCCTCCCACACCCGGCCAGGCGCGCCGCCCTCCCACACCCGGCCAGGTGCGCTGCCTCCCACACCTGTCCAGGTGCGCTGCCTCCCACACCCAGCTAGGTGCACCGCCCTCCCACACCTGTCCAGGTGCGCCACCCTCCCACACCTGGCCAGGTGTGCCACCTCCCACACCCGGCCAGGTGCGCCGCCCTCCCACACCTGTCCAGGTGCGCTGCCTCCCACACCCGGCCAGGCGCGCCGCCCTCCCACACCCGGCCAGGTGCGCTGCCTCCCACACCTGTCCAGGTGCGCTGCCTCCCACACCCGGCCAGGCGCGCCGCCCTCCCACACCCTGCCAGGAGCGCCGCCCTCCCACACCTGTCCAGGTGCGCCGCCCTCCCACACCTGATGCAGGTGCACCATCTCCCACACCCGGCCAGAGCTGCCACCTCTCTGACCACACCCCTGCTTGCATCTTTCAGTGCCGTGGTACCAGGTACCAATGCACTCCTTGGCTGTTCCCCCCAGTACAAACTTCTGGGTGGTGACATCCTTTCCCTCTGTCCTGGGGGTCTCTTTCTTTCCCTCCTTTGCTTAGCGGAACTCCTGTGCCTGCAGAACTCAACTCTGCTCCCCTTTCTGGAAGCTGCCCCTCCCTCTCACCTGGGGCTCTCCCTGGGATGCCGTTGTCGTGCCCCTCCGCCCCCCCAGCCCCAGCCCCAGGTTCCATGTTCCCTCCTGGCATCTGGCTCTTTCCCCGGGCTGCGGTGATCAGAGACCAGCCCTGCAGGTCCCAGCCCCCCACACTAGCCCAGGGCCTGGCCTGTCGTCGAGGCTCACTCTAGGGCATGAGAATGTCTCAGGGATGAGCAAGTAGGAACCGTGAATGAAGACTGAGCAGGAACTTCGAAGGAAAGCGTCTCGGTGAGGCGGAATTATGAATGAAAGGGCACGCCATGGCGAGGCCCCGAAACCCTGGAAGCAGCTGACAACACGGTGCTTCCCCCTAAAGCCAGCCCCTGGCCCGTCCTTGAACGGCCCACGCGTGTCAGGCTGTGTGCTGCGTGGCTGGGACCTGCGGGGGCAGGTGATGCGCTTGTTTGCGAATAAAGGACGCCCCTCTTCATCAAAGGACGAGTTGCAAAGGCTTCCGGCCAGCGGAGCGAGGCTCCCCGAGTCTGCGAGTCGGGGGTCTCGAGACTCTTTCGTTTTCTGCAGATGTGGCAAAAAATAGAGGACGCGGAGTGGAGGCCTCAGACTTACCTGGAGCTGGAGGGCCTGCCGTGCATCCTCATCTTCAGCGGGCTGGACCCGCACGGGGAGTCCTTACCAAGGTGAGTGGCGGGCGGGGGGCCGGGCCCAGCTGGGCT